CTTGCTTGCTTGCTTGCTTGCTTGCTTGCTTGCTTGCTTGCTTGCTTAGCACAGACATAGGCTATACACACCCCAACAAACTGCATCTAGCCTGTGCCGAACAGAGGCAGAAGGTTCATGAGAGCTGGCTGTAAGCACAGCATTTTCACCGTGGCGTTCACCATTGTCACTATCAAGTGAATAGACGGACCCGTACTATGCGTCATTGACCCTCAAGACTTAGTCAATCTTGTGGCCACACTTCAACGTACAGAAACACAGCACACATAGCACGTTCTTTTTACCTCAGTTAAGCTGAACGTTCGTTACCAACGGTTGACCGCCTTGCTTTGCGGACTTTGTGCCCCAACAGCTCTACATGCTGGGTTGTGGCAGTTTAATTGAGAAGTGAACCACGTAACTTTAGACACATACAAGCAAGCTCGCCAGACATAGACGATGGGAGAAACCACCATGAAAGGCGTCAGGAGTTTGGAAGAGAAAAAGACTTCAGGGATCTAAAAATGGAATGCAGAATCAGTAGGGCTAGACAAGATGTAAGGGGCTGCGCCAAGAGTCCAAAACCATCGGTCAGGGCTGTGCTCCGTAAGGTTCTCCAAGATTCCAGGGTTCCAAGGGCCTGAATCAAATACAATGAATGACTCAGAAGGTTCTGAGAGCAACAGCGAAGAAAAAAGCACTGAGGAAAGGGGCCTGCAGCCATTCATTTTTGCTAATATACGGACTCAAGAAAGGACTTCATGATAAACAAGGGTTTCTACGAGAACAGGCGGTGAATATACGGAACCTCAGGTGTAAAACATGTTTCTTGTCAGGTGGTGTTGCACGCCCAAGCCAGTCAGACGGTTTGCTGAGGCTGTCCTGCCTGCGAGATCCGGAGCTGTTCTGCTGCCTGCGTTCAGGCGAATATATTGAAACAGAGGTGTTGTCCATTCGTGACACAGAGGTGTTGTTTCTTCCAGACGCCTTTGTGTATCACACTTTTGTGAGAACCCCTTCTTGCTCGCCATGTCCCCCACAACATATGGCCCGAGAGCTGAAGGCATCGACCCTTGTTGCATGCCTTGCCATGGATGCTGACAAAGCGGCCATCGCTGCAGCGCTGCAGGAACTTGGTGAAGACTTCGATCCAGATGCTGGCTTCGCAGTGGTTCCATTGACAGAATGCCCTCATGTCACAGCATTGCCTGCCCGGGAGATCTCCATGAAAGCTCGATGTTCTGTGTGCAAGGAGGAAGAAGTTTGGTTGTGTGGGAGCTGTGGCCAGGTGTTGTGCTCCCGCTACAAAAACAAACATATGTTGGCACATGCTCAGGAAGAAGGGCATTCAGTGGGTCTCTCATTTTCAGATCTCTCATTTTGGTGCTTCAAATGCAATTCCTACCTCGATGTCTACGCAATACCCCAGCTTCATGACCTGTACAGGGCTGCTCATTTGGCAAAATTTTGTCACGAGCCTCCTCTTCCAAGCATAAGTCGGACTCCGGCCGAAGACTCTGGAGCCGCCAGCAGTTCAGGATGAAAGAAGTGAAAGCGCCAGTGGGGCCAGCATGTGACATGGATATTTATTCAACCCGTTGCCTTGGCCAACATTTCACAGGTCTATTGCTTTGGCCTCCAACCTACTTGTTACTGTCTACTGCTGTGCTTTTTTGTTCTGGTCCAGGCGCACAAGTCACAGTCTGGCTGCACCGGAAAGCGACCTAGAACTGAGCGCGTGGCACCATTGAATGCTTTCACTGACAACGCTTGGGCCTTGGATTGTCAGTTACTTGCTTTGCATCCTGCAGATTTCTGTATGCTTCTGCATCGCAGAAGGTCCTTCTGCGAGACTTTGGACTCTTAGAGGAAGTGGATGCAGCTGTCGACCGTGCTGACAGAGACTTGCGGATCCGAGACGAGGATTGTGCTGAACATGCTGGCAATGTGGACAACAGAGTCAGAGAGGGGTCATAGGAAGAAGTCTTGTCCGTTTGAGGTTGAGAAGTATGAACATGGTCATAGTAGTTGGCTTGCTGAACATACTTGAGACCCTGCAGGAGATGAGACTCTATCAGCCGAGGTTAGGCAAAAACCTCTCACATGTCGTTCAAGAATCTAAGATGCCTGACACGGCAGGCGGCACAAGCAGCGCATACAACTGGCACGGGCCTGTGCAGCACCGGAGCGGCAAACAAGGCCTTGACAGCCACAGGGCCTACACTGTCCTACAAGTTTGGGTGATTCTGAGTCAGCCTGCAATGCCAAATTCATGGGAGGCTGATCCTTGCGCCTTTTGCTATGACCATCGCTCAAGGGAATACTTCCAAGCTGGTGGATGGTGGCAAGGGACGGAAAGGTGAGGGCCCGCAAAAGGTCTCAGATTCGTGCTTGCTGCTTGGAGCGTCCAGGCAAGGGCAAAGGCTCGAAGAAAGGCGCAGACAGAGAGAGAGAGAGAGAGAGACAGACTTGTGTAAGACAGCCCAGTGCAAAGTAAAAAGGTAGCAAAGTCTGAGACCTACTAGCGATGGCCTCCAACCTAAGAGCGATGGCCTCCAACCCAAGAGCGA